TATATACATACACTTAGTGGGCAGTTTTTTAAAATTCTGAATCCTCTTCCTTCATCCTTTGTTTGGGTTCAAGTTTCAGGTCCAACTGGTTTATTTGGAAGTGCAGTAAATAGTAGAAAAGTAGAGAACTAAGAGAGGGAAAGGTAGGAAATTTTAGTGAGCCACCTACCTACAACTGGAGTTTGATCTAGAGAAAGAAGGAAGCTGGGCTACTATTAGTCCATCCTTGTCATTGGTTGAGTGTTGCTTCAGTGCACACACTGTAGCAGTCTGTGGATACTTGAGCTTAAGAGAAAACCCTTATGTTAAGAGGTGCAGATAGCTGGAGATCTATCTGGTCAGTACATGAGTCCTGAGGGATTTGAACAGATTATCACCATGATTTCTGCTCCTTTTGAAATAGTAAATTACAGGAGAACGATCTTTGTTCTTTCTATTCTTTAGCCTTTTGTTTGTTTGTTTTTGTTTTTTGTTGGTCTTGGGGCCTGAACTCTGGGCCTAGGCGCTGTGCCTCAGCTCTTCAGTTCAAGGCTAACGCTCTACCACTTGAGCCACAGCGCCACTTCTGGCTTTTTCTGCTTATGTGGTGCAGAGGAATTGAATCCTCATGCATGCAAGGCAAACACTCTACCACTGAGCCACCTTCCCAGCCCCTAGCTTTTTGGTGTGTGTTGGTTGTAGAGCTTGAACTCAGGGCCTGGGTGTTGTTGCCGAGCTTTTTCACTCAAGGCTAGCACTCTGCCTACCACTTTGCGTCACAGCTCCACTTCTGATTTTCTGGTTTTCTGGTGGTTAATTGGAGATAAGAATCTCATGGACTTTCCTGCCTGGGCTGGCTTTGACTTTGAATCATGATCCTCAGATCTCAGCCTCCTGAGTAGCTAGGATTACAAGTGTGAACCACTGGCGCCTGGCTTAGTGTCTGGCCTTTTAAACCACATCTTTCTCTAAAGCTAGCTAAGTACTCAGATCTCATCTTGACTCTTCTGTGAATCACCAGGCCGCATGTTTCTCATAATGGCACCTACTGACTTCTGCTTCATGGAATGCTTGTTAAATACCTACATGTTTTATATTTTGCACTTTATTTGAGTTCCTTGGGAACTGTTACATCTTTGTAAGCAGCAGAGTCCTGGCATGTTTTATAATGGGTTGTTTTGCCAAATAGTCTGTGAGAAAAAACCCTGGGTTCTTGATAGTGTCAACCAGATAGTATCATAAACTTCAGGGAGTTACTGGATGGACTCTAAAAGCCAGAGCAATAATTTATTCCCCTCCTGTTTCTCTTGAAGTTAAAAAAAATTTTTTTGTATACTTAAACCAACCACCACTGCTTTTTTCCACAGCTTTTTTATCATCCTAAATATATACTCTATAACCATTAAATACTAAATCTCCAATCTCTGGCAACCACCATTCTACTTGGTCTCTGTGGTTTGATTATTCTAAGTATCCCATGTGAGTGAAATTATACGCTGTTTGCCTTTGTGACTGGTTTATTTCACTTTAGTATCATCTGTGTTAAAGCCTATATCAGAATTTCCTTTTTATTTGAGGATAAATAATAACTTTTGTATGTACATATCACATTTTGTTTATTCTTGTTGACAGCATTTGGGTTTTTCTACCACTTGGCTATTGTGAATAGTGCTGCTAGGAACACAGATTGCAGATTTCTCTTACGCAACATTCACTCTTTTTGTTTTGTTTTGTTTTGTTTTGGGTCCAGTCATGGGGCCTGAACTCTGGGCCTGGGCGCTGTCCCTCAGCTCTTCAGCTCAAGGCTAGCACTCTCCACTTGAGCCACGGCACCACTTCCGGTTTTTTTCTTTTGTGCTTATGTGGTGCTGAGGAATCGAACCCAGGGCCTCATGCATGCAAGGCAAGCGCTTTACCACTGTGCACCTTCCCAGCACTCTTTTTGAATATATACCCAGGTTTGTTGGATCTGGTGCCAGTGGCTCATGCAGGTAATCCTAGCTACTCAGGGGCCTGATCTGAGGATCATAGTTTGAAGCCAGCCTGAGCAGGAAAGTCTGTGAGATTGTCATCTCCAATTAATCACCAAGCTGGAAGTAGAGCTGTAGGTCAAGTGGTAGAGTGCCAGCCTTGAGCAAAAAGGCTCTTGGAAAGCACCCAGGCCCTGAGTACAAGCCCCAGGAATGACACCCAATAAAAATATTTTTTTGAGGAACTATTTCATTTTTTGATACCCATTATAATGTCTTTGAAGTGCTGTCTCATTTTGATTTACAGTTCTCTAACGATAGGGATGTTGAACATCTTTTTGTGTACTTATTGGCCTTTTTTTTTTGTTGGTCATGGGCTGAACTCTGGGTCTGGGCACTGTCCCTCAGCTCTCCAGCTCAAGGCTAGCACCCTACCACTTGAGCTACAGCGCCACTTCCAGCTTTTTTCTGCTTATGTGGTGCTGAGGAATTGAACCCAGGGCCTCATGCATACGAGGCAAGCCCTATACCATTGAGCCAAATTCCCAGCCCCCTTATTGGCCATTTGTATATGGCTATGATATATTTCTTCTTTGGAGAAGTATCTATTCAAATCACTTGCCTATTTTTTGCCCTTTTCTCATACTTTTCCTTTTCTTTCTCATCCCTTCTCCCTTCCTTTCCCTCTTTTTGCCAGTGTCATGGCTTAAACTCAGGGTTTCACATTCTCTGTTGGCTTACTTGTTCAGCTGGTGGTCTACCACTTGAGCCATGTCTCCAGTCTGACTTATTTTGGAGATGGAGTCAGCAGACTTTTCTGCCAAGACTGGCTTTGAATTATGATCCTCCAGATCTCAGTTTCCAGAGTACTTAGAATTACAAACATGAGTACTTAGAATTACAAAAAAAAAAGGGTAAGAAAATGGGGCCAAAACACAAGAACTAAGTTTCACTTCAGCTTAAAGTCAGTTTTGTTACTATTTGGAAATAATTGAGCTCTCAGAATTGATTACTTGAGGCTTGGTAACATTAGACAATGCTTTTTATGAATCTAAATTAGAATAGGTCTGGCAGTGGTGGCTTTTTTCATATGAAGCAAGTTGAAATTGTCTGATAAAAGTTTGCTTGTGCCTCTGGCACTAACTTCTGGCTGCCTTGGCAATAACTTCATGCTCAAGGATGTCACTGGCACCAGAGAACATCAGGATGCCTGGCCTTTCAAAAATTTCTCTGGGCTGGGAATGTGACTTATTAGTGGAGTGCTTGTCTAGTATGTATGAAGCCCTGCATTGGATTCCTCAGTACCACATAAATGGGGCAGGGTGGAGTGGGGCTGAGGGAGCTGAAAGGACCGTGGCTCAAATGGTAGAGTGCTAGCCTTGAGCAAAAAAAGAAGGTCAGGGACAGTGCCCAGGCCCTGAGTTCAAACCCCAGGACTGGCAAAAAACCCAAAACAACAACAACAAAAAAAACACAAACCTGAAAACCCCTCTGCGAATCTCTTAGCTTTTTTTCCTGCATTAATTTTTTATCAAATTGTGTTGTAAGATTTGTGTAACATGAGACTTAACAGTTAAAATATGTGGTTCAAGCTGGGCATTGTGGTACGTATGTATTCTTAGCATTTGAGTGACTGAGACAGGAGGATAGCAAGATAGTGTCTCAAAGAAAAAAGAGTACAATGCAGGAGTTGGGAATGTAGTATAGTAATAAAGAGTGTCTTTGACATATGCAAGGCTCTAGGTCCAGTCTCCAACAACAAATAATTAAACAAAAATATACAGTTCAACCAGGCACCAGTGACTTTCACCTATAATCCTTGCAACTCAGAAGGCTGAGATCTGAGGATGGCAGTTTGAAGCCCGCTGAGGCAGGAAAGCTCATGAGACTTTTCTTTCTAATCATCCATCAAAAAAAACTGGAAGTGGAGCTGTAGCTCAAATGATAGAATGCTAGCCGTGAGCAAGAAAAGCTTAGAGACAGTGCCCAGGCACTGAGTATAAGAGTATATACAGTTTATTGACGTGGCATTAAATACATTCATATTATTTTGTTAACTATTGCTGCTATCCATCTCCAGAACAAATTTGTCATCCCAAATTGAAACTGTACCTGCTACTAGGGCCTTTTTTTTTTTTTTGCCAATCCTGGGGCTTAAACTCTGGGTCTATGCACTGCCCACAAACTTATTTTTGCTCAAAGCTAGAGCTCTACCACTTGAGCCACAGCACCACTTCCAGCTTTTTCTGAGTAATTTATTGGAAATGAGAGTCTCATGGACCTTCCCGCCCAGGCTGGCTTTGAACTGCAATCCTCAGATCTGAGCCTTGTGAGTAGCTAGGATTGTAGGCATGAGCCACCAGCACCCAGCTTGCTGGGGCCTTTTGAAGCCATATTTGTTTACTGTTGGTATAAACTTTAAACTTCACTGCTCCAGTATCTCATTCAAGTATATACTTTTGTATATACTTTATGTAGAATAATATCTTCAAGCTTTATATATCTCACAGCATGTGTAAGAATTTTCTTCATTTTGAAGCTGAATAATAAATATTTCATTATATGTATTGCCAAATTCTGTAATAGACTCTTAGATCAAATTCACATTTGGCTATTTTCTTTTGTCAGTCATGGAGCTTGAACTTAGGGCCTGGGTGCTGTCCTGGAGCTCTTTTGTTCAAGGCTGGTACTCTACCACTTCGAACCATATCTCTACTTCTGATTTTTGAATGGTTAACTGGAGGTAAGAATCTCATGGGACTTTTCTGCCCAGGCTGGCTTCAAACTTCAATCCTCAGATCTCAGCCTTCTGAGTAGCTAGAATTACAGGTGTGAGCTACCAGCACCTGGCATCTACAAGTATTTTTATGAGGATATTTTCTACTTGGTGCCTTATAAATATATGCCTATTTTTCTTGCTTATTTTGTAAAAGTCTATCTTTACAAATAGTTGGATCAGAAGTCCACATATTTTGTTAGGTACATTGTATTTATTATATTTGGATAATTGTATGTCCAGTTGCAAAATAATTTAATTTTTTGTCCCAACAGTATATCCTTTCAGGCTCTGATGACTTCAACCTATACATGTGGAGAATTCCTGCAGATCCAGAAGCAGGTGAGTATATGTTAAGGATGAATCAACTGTTATGGCTGATTCTACTTGCCTTTGGCATGCAGTGACCCAAAAGGACTTATAAAGGAAGATGTTTTTCTCTTTTCTTTCCTTTTTTGTCAGTTCTAGGGCTTGAACTCAGGGCCTGGGAGCTGTCCCTGAGCCCTTCAGCTCAAGGCTGGCGCTCTACCACTAAGCCACATTCCCAGCCCCAATATTTCTCTTTTTAACTTAAGCAGTTTATAAGAAAAGTGACTAATAGAATTTTAAAATAAAATTTAGAAACTAAATTTAACTGTATCACTCATCTATAGCCTGATCTGTTATAAAAGATGCTTAGATTTTTCTCCTAAGAACCTTTCTTTACACCTCTTAAATCTCCATTATTTCCTTTCTCTCCTATTACACACTTGCTTTCACATGTATTTTCTGTATTGCCCATCTTCATATTCCTGCTCGTTGTTATTTTACAGTTGTTAAGCCTTTCCTTTCTGTTGGTCTCCCTTAAGAGAGGCTTTTCTGTTGATGGACAGGTGCATTTCCTGGGGTTTGGTAACGCAGACATCAAAGAACTATTTCTGCATTTGCTCTAGATATATTCGCAGAAAAAGCCTGTGGCCTTCCATAAATTTGTTTGTTTTGTCAGTTGTGGAGCTTGAATTCAGGGCCTGGGCACTATCCCTGAGTTCTTTTGCTCAAGGCTAGTGTTCTACCACTTTGAGCCACAGCACCACTTCTGGCTTTTGGGTGGTTAATTGAAGAGTCTCACAAGGACTTTTCTGCCCGGGGTTGGTTTGAACTGCGATCCTTAGATCTCAGCCTCCTGAGTAGCTAGGATTACAACAGGCGTGAGCCACTGTCACCTAGCAAAAAGCTTACTTTTGGGGCTGGGAAAGTGGCTCAGTGGGTAGAGTGCTTGCCTTGCATGCATGAAGCCCTGAGTTCGATTCCTCAGCACCACATAAGCAAAAAGAAAAAAGCCGGAAGTGGTGCTGTAGCTCAAGTGGTAGAGTGCTAGCCTTGAGCTGAAGAGCTGAGGGACAGTGCCCAGGCCCAGAGTTCAGGACCCACGACCGGACCCAAAAAAAAAAAAAAGCTTACTTTTAAGAAAAGTCTTTATCTCTCCTAATAACATACACATAATATTTTTGAACTTTTACTTCTGAACACTGACTTTAAATCTATTGACTTTAAATCAGTTTATTAAAGAGGAGTTTTTATTCTCTTATGTGGAGGCTAGTTACCTGGCGATTAAGTTCCAAGAGCCAAGTCAAGAAATAGAATTGTCTCATAGATCTGTGTACAATTTTTTGTTTCATCCCTCCCCTAGCTGTGTTTTATATCTACTGTAAAATCTCTTTAGGTGAACTTCAGCTGGAAACTTCCTAGACCTCAGCTTGTGTGGTTGTTAAACTCAATTTCATACATGTTTCAGCCCCTCTCTCCAATTATTGATGTCTCTTTTTTTATATTAATTAATGTCTTTATTTTTAAATGTTAACAATTAGCTCACAGTTTTAAAAACTATTTAGCAAGATTTAACAAGTCAATAAAACATGAAGGCTACTTGTGATATTTGACTTCTCACTTTGAACTAAAATTATCAGATTTTTTTTTTTTTGGCAGTCCTGGGATTTGAACTCTAGGTCTTAGAGTTCTTGCTCTTTCTAGACAGGTACTCTACCACTGCGTCACAGCTCCAGCCCATTTTTGCACTGTTTTATTAAAAATTGTTAATATAGATGTGACGTACAGTGGGTTTATAGTTTACATAGATCAGGTAAAGAGTACATTTCTTTATGAACAATGTCACCCTCCCCTTGCTCTGTCCCCACTGGTTATTTTTGGGATTTTGCTTCCTATTTATTTTTAAGGTTTTGGTTCATACCTGTACACACACCTGGGCCATGATCCTTCTATTTTTACTTCCTACTATAACTAGGATCATGAACACATAATCACTACTCCCAATTTCTTCCCCTGAGATAGAGTTCTTACAGACTTTTCTGTCCCAACTGGCCTAGGGTTAAAAGATTGACAGATGTAGACCACCATGCCCAGCTATTGATTGAGAAAGGAGTATGATGTGTATGCCTGAGTTGGCCTCAAATTGTGATTCTCCCGATCTCAGCCTTCCAGATAGGTAGGATAAAAGATTAAGACATGGGGGCCCAGCTACTGCTGCTTCTTCAACTTACATGTTATGGACCAAGGAAGGCAAACTTGTGCATTGCTCTCTCTCTCTCTCTCTCTCTCTCTCTGTCTCTCTGTCTCTCTCTCTCTCTCTCTCTGTCTCTCTCTCTCTCTCTCCTCTCTCTTTCTCTCTCTTTCTTTCTCTTCATCTCTGTCCAATATAAGATACTAAAGTAAGCAAATATGGAGAAGCTGGCTTACTGTTACATACTTTAATGTCATAATCACTATTTCATGCTGGATGACAAACATTTAGCAGCTATTGAATACCTGGCATGTGTTTCACAGGTTGTGCTAAACACTGAGAGAGTCTTGAGTGTGAGCCAAAGACAGCAACATCTTTTTCTTTTCCACTGTCCTGTTTGGAAAGACTATCAATCAGTCTTTTTTTTTAATGCTTCACAAAATTTTAGGAAATAAGATTTGTTTATCATATAAACTGTTCTGACTTAATGTATTAAATTATTCACATAGGCTTCTGAGTGGGCTGAGAGCATTTCTAGGTGTAAGACCCGTACCCACTGTGAAATGTACTGCCTGGCAAGATCGCGTCCTGTTCTTTAGTTGATGTCAAGTAATTTCAGAAATCCCCTTTAGAATGAGAGGGAGGAATAGAATTGAGAATTTTGCTATAGCAAAGAAAAGCCTATCAGAATGTTTCCTGCCTCTGAAGTAATTTAGAAGAGGTCTGTTTTTACATGGTAATTCTGAAGATAAAATAGACTTAATGTGGTATACCACTGTGGTATATTATAATGAAGGAGCATTAGTCTTGAAATCCTACATGGATTAAAGTCCAATTTTTCTACTAGAAAGAGTACTTCTAGCCGAGTGCCAGTGGCTTACGTCTGTAATCCTAGCTATTCAGGAGGCTAAGATCTGAGGATCACAGTTCAAAGCCAGCCCAGGCAGAAAAGTCCATGAAACTCTGACCTCCAATATACCACTAGAAAGCCGGAAGTGGTGCCGTGGCTCAAGAGGTAGAGCACTCGCCTTGAGCTGAAGAACGCAGGGACAGTGCTCAAACCCAGAGTTCAAGCCCCACAACCTACCTGAAAAAAAAAAAAAGGAGCACTTATAGGTGAGTTATGTAACAGCAGTTCTGAGTCTTGTTTTCTTCTGTAAAATATCTCCTGTACTTGCTTTATATTCTGAATTTTAATAATCTTAGAAACTTTCTGAAAGCTATCAAATATATGCCATCATTAATGCAGTGTAGACCTCTGATCTCCAAAGCATTTTCTCCCTAGTAACTGAGATATGGAAGTAATGGATTTGGCAAAATGTTGGGGATGTAAGTAATCCTTGAAAATATTTATATTTCCCTTCTATCTAAACTAATTATTCCTTTTTTTAAAAAAAAGCAATTTTCATAGAGTGGCTTTCTCTGAGATATGCCTCTACTCGAAGACCTTACTGTTTATGGAAAGAAGTATAATGTAATTGAGTTGATAAGACTGGTTTTAAATCCCTGCTGCATTCATCTTACAATTAAGGACTTGTGAAAAATACTTAATCTTACTAAACTCCATTTCTTCATCTGTAAATTAATGATATTAACATTACCAACAAGAAAATAATGTCAACCTTCTTAGGGTTATAGTGAGAATTCTGAGTTATTGAATGATTGTTATTTCTATTACGAAGACCAGTGACAGTAGTTGGTGTCAGTAGCTCATCCTTGTAATCCTAGTTACTTGAGAGGTTAAGAATGGAAAGATCAAGGTTTGAGGTTATTCTACGCAGAAGAGTCATTACAACTTTCATAGAAGGGAAGCTGGATATGGTAACACACATCTGTGAGATGACTGGATAATCCGCCTAAAAGTAGGAGATCCTGCTGTCTCAGTGGTGTACCTTGACAGGAAGTAAGATCCTGTAGTAAAAATAACCAATGAAAGACTAGAGGCATGGCTCAGTGGTACCTGCCCAGTCTAGCAAACAGGAGGCCCTGAGTTCAAACCTCTACTAGTTCTAGCAACAACAAAGAAGGGAAAAAAGAAGAAATAAAGATAATTTTTTTTCCCTTTTAACATTCCTTTTAAAAGCCAGGCACCAGGCTCACCTCTAATCCTAGCTATCCAGGAGGCTGAGATGTGAGAATGATGATTCAAAACCAGTGGTGGCAGGAAGTCTATGAGACTCTGATCTTTAATTAATCACAAAAAAGCTGGAAGTGGAGTTGTGGTTCAAGTAGTAGAGAGCCAACCTTCAGCAAAACATCTCAGGAACAATGCCCAGGCTTGTGTTCAAGCCCCAGGACCAGCACCTAAACAAACAAACAAACAAAAATCTCCTTAAAGGAAGAATGATGGAGGGGTTGACTGATCAAGAAGCACTTGACATTTAAATGGACATGTTAAATTAAACCACTTTGCCTAATCTTTTGAAGTTCAGAAAATTAAGAAGGGGAAAGAAACTCTTTAGAAATCAAGACAGTGTCCCTTTTGGTGCCCTTTTAGATGGCTGATAGAACTGTTCTAATATGTAATGCTGCTCTTGACTCATCAGTAGTTTAAAGGACTCCCTTATTTGACAAATTTTTCCCTGAATGGAAGTGAGAAACATGAATTTTCACTACCAAGTCACTGCAACCGCCTGCACTGGGAGTAGGCTATGGAAGGATGGAAACAGCTGTAAGTGTGTATTCATGGGCCTATGTATGTGCATATGCTGTGTCTCTCCCTTTTTGTAGGCATCCATTCACTCTCAGTTAAGTTTAGGCATCTGTTTTGTCTTCCCATGTAATTGGAAAAACAACTGTTTTTAATTGGTCATAAGTAGTTGGCTGCAAACATATGTGAAGTACA